CTTCGGCTACATCTGAGACGTTCCCTAGCCAAAGCCCTAATCAGTTTGGTTCTACACCGCCATCATCATCATCATCATCATCGGCATGGGGAGAAGAAGAAAGGGCTCGTGGCCACGAGAGCCAGTCCTCGAAGGGAACACGGCATAAAGCTCAATACCAAGACGAACAAGCTCGTGTACTCCACGCCTCTCTTCGCCATGTGGTCTGTATTGACTTAGCTCTGTTTCTATTACTCTAATTCAAGATTTATTGCGAGTTTATGATTGCGAATTTCTGAGTTCTGGCTGAACTGCTATCCCCGGCTTTTGAATCAAAAAAAGAAAAAGAGAAATTGCTTGCGTTTTAGGAACACAGTCACTGGAAAAAATATCCTAGTGGGAATCCAAATTCCTGCCAATACTTTTTATTCATACTTTTTGCATCGGTGATTTTTGTTCAATTGTTGAGATAGTGCCACTTGACTGAACTTGAAGGGGCCGGATGTGTATCCGGCTCATCCCTTCCTATGCTCGAGTCAGTTGGCATTCAAATGAGCAAATATGAGTAATACACAACAAGTTGAGTGTTGTGTGTGTACCTTGGACCCAATTTTTTGGTCTGTCTGTATCTTGAGGGATGAGGACGTGAAATCCAGAGGATGACATCAAGCTAGCCGGCCTAAAACATGTAAGGATGACATGTCAGTAGTTACCCCTACCCTCGAGCCGCACATTTACTAGGCTTAGCCTTAGGGAAGGCGGCCACTCGGGGTCACATGCCACAATGATTACCTCAGTCGGGAGACCAAGCATTTAGTGAGTACTGTCCGGACATTCAACGACTTTTGCCTGTTCTAAAAAAAAAAAAATTACTTTTGCCTGTGAACACCGAGCATTAACTGATGCACCCCGGGACACCTCCGGACTAGTCCATGTAAGCAAGGGACATGCCTTTACTTGGCATTCACGGGATTTGGTGAGGTCCCCATGTAGATGTAACCGCGCACCTAATCATCTCTTGCTACTGGTTGTGTTATTGGGCCCTTTTGTTGGAGCACCATTACTGGTCGGTCTTGGGGTAAGACGTCCCCCAGGGTTTTGCAAATAGTCTCAAGAAAGTTTGAGGGGGTTCAGTCTGATGGTCTGCCTCGATTTGGTCCACCAAGGGGTTGGGTACTCTCGGTGGTACCCATTCTCGTCCACATGTTGTTGACTGATAGGCGTGCCGATTCACCTCCCATCACTTTTCTTTCTAGGGTAGATCACCAGCCACTAGTTCATGTATTACTCACTATTTATGATTGTGTACTGTGATTTATCCAGCATTTTGCAAATTATGCTTTCCGTGAAGGTAATTTTTGCTGAATTTAGTCTCTTTTCCAAAATAATATCAAGCTCACTGTACAATTAGTAGACTGCTGAGGATAAATGAGCCCAAGTTAGTTGAATCAGTACATTGTGTTTGCTTCATGTTTTGCTAGCACAAGATGTTCTGATTTGGAATAATCCTGCCATAGTGGTGTGATTTAGATAATTTCAGTGAAACTATGAAATCCTTCTATGTAAGACCAATTTCATTGCCTGCATGTTTGAAAAATGGATCAAAATCGAACAACCTATCAAAAAACATGGTGGTCTAATTTGATTCCTTGGACGTTAAATGTCATGTACATCAACTTCAGAATGTGTTCATTTGATGTGCTATTTGGTTGGCTAATTTGTGATGATCTGTAGACTAGGTTGGGTTGGACTGAAGCAGCCATGATTGCAGGTGCGAGGGAGGTTGGTGTATCCCCCTCTATCGTGGGATCTTTTCATCGAAAAGAAGCTGCTCTAGTAGAGGTAGAACTGCCTTTTTATATTAGTTTGCCACTTCATTTAGATTGCATTTGTTTATGCTTTTAGACAGTAATGGGCTTATTATATGGAAACCTGACTTTTGAGTGTGTTATTTGCTCCTTTCCCCAAAAAAGTTGAATATTTTCAGTCTGTTTCGATTTCTAACACAGCGATCTTACATGATCACTCGTCATGATTGGGTAACTAATGATTTTTCCTTGATTTGTTTCTTCTTAATTTTCATTTGAAATTTTGCTGCTACTTAGGTATTTTTTTAAGATTTCTAGGTCATTGTTTTAGAAGCAAATAACAATAATCTAGGGGGTGGATGGGTGCTAGAAGAAGTTATAAAAATTTGCCATGGGGATCCCAAGAGAAGTGAGTGGTTGTCAGATTTAGAAAAGTGGGAAGCATTTTGTCTGGACTCGACTAAATATAATTACCAAGGTTTGTGTTGGAGTTTGGGCAGTTTTACACATGCAGTGGTTAAATAATGTGAACACTTCATCAGGCTCCTTATGGACTTTCTTCTTGCTGATAAACTGGATTTGTATGTAGAATCCATAGGGTTTCTAGTGCAATGATTATGGTGTTCCTGTTGAACATTGTATTATAAAGAGTTTATTGAGGCATAACATGTGATACAGTTGGTTTGGTGTATAGTGCATACTCCTTTTCTCTTCCTTCGCTTACTGATTTATCGATTTTTTTTTTATCCTTGCTCATCTGTATTCAAGTTTCATGTCTCCGTTGTATCATTTGAGTTCTTTTAATTTATCATCCACAGTTTTTCATGGATGAGTGTTTACAAAGGCTTACTGATATAATTGACTCCGAAGAGGATTTAAGAAACTTGATACCTAGTGAGTGCATTGCAAAACTTGTCAGAACTCGCTTGGAAATGCAGGCTCCCTACATATCAAAGTGGCCTCAAGCTCTTAGCATCCAGGTACTATGTTCTGTATTGTTTTTCCTTTCATTAGATTGCTAATTGCTTGCTTAAATAAAATTAGCTGAACCCTTGGTCGCTTTCATAATTTCTTTGGCATAGGCACATCCGTTCAATGTCCCAACAAGCTTTAAGCAGCGGGCCATGCTGGTTGATGAAATCTGGCATGCCGCTGGTGTTGAGTCCACTGATGTTGATTGGTATGTGAAGCGCACTGTCCTTGGCGGCATATACTCCACAACTGAGGTGTACATGCTGACTGATAGTTCCCCAGGTTGGAAGAATTTTCTTCAGTTGATCCTCTGCTCGCTGTTTGTTGTTTCTTCTCTTCTTACTCTCCTCTCTGGATATGCTTCACCGTAGAATAATATGTTGAAGCCGTGGCCAATTTTTGTTAGACTGAGAAGATATGGGCCCATTTTATATTCATGTGAAGGTGAAGGATGATTTGTCATTGTCGCATTTTCTTCTGCAGATTTTCGTGATACGTGGGCGTTCTTGGATGCTCGAGTTAAAGATGCTTTTGATCTAAAAAATACCATCCAAGAGGTAAGTCTGTATTGGTTATAATGCTTAATGATTCAAGTATGTGTTTTCTTGTATCATGTTGGAATACAGGTTTTCGTAATGGTGACCAACACTTTGGGGTGGTGAAATTTTGCAGGCAAAGTATTTGGCAGAAGCGGTTGGTGCAGGCATGGGAGGTTCCCTGCAAGGTTTCATGAAGAGAGCTTTTCAATATATAAAAATTGTTTGTAATAGAAGTTGTACCAACCATGTTTGATGTGCAAAGGTATGTTGTATAAGTTTGGGATGGCCTTGGAAGGATTAGAAGTGGATTAGAAAGGAAAAATAGAGGAAATAGGCAGATTCAACAAAAGCGTACAGGTACGCCAAAGACCAGTAGCCAGACCGTACCGGTACGGCATAGTCCAATAGCCATACAGTACCGGTACGCGTATCGCTATGCCCGACAGATTCCAGAAATTTTTAAGTCATGAACAGTCGGCCCTCCTTCCACTATAAATACATAAAGACGTCCCATTTAGCCCCATTTCAACACTTCTAACCTTAGAAAACCTTAGAGAGGAGAAAGAGAGGGAAAAACACAAGATCAAAGGGGATTTGCTATGAAATACTTGTTTCTTGAAGTTCCTACAAGTATCACCATGTTTTGAAGGTATTTATGGTTTGATAGCCATGAAAACCCTAGTTTTTGAGAAAATTGGATTTTTCTTTTTAATGCTCAATTGTTCTTGATTTTGAAACTCTAGTGCTTTGTATTAAACAACAAATGGTATTTATAATGATCTCTTGCTTATTTTCTCAAATTGTGGTCTTTTAATGCAAGTTGTGAAATTTGGGAATTTTAGATTTACTTATGATTTGACAAAACGATTGTTATTGCATCCCTTGTATGGTTGTTGTGATGGACTTTAATTACATTCGAGCACTGCCGTAGAGTGTTAGAGGTTATTCTATTGCTTGACAAAATTCCTTGTTGTTTCCTAACCTATAAACATCAACTTTTAGCATATATAGTATATGGATGAAGGGGAGTGTCACTCTCCTTGGGATGATGTCAAAGAAAGGGCAACAAAATGGTGGATGAATGAAATTTCAAGTGTGTGTGTGTGTGAACAAAAGTGCTCCTCAAACACAAGGAGACTTTCACGGATCGTGTTTTACTTGGTGGTATTCCAAGGTTGTTTTCACGGGGAACGAAGTAAACCGAGGGGAAGGTGATTTGGGAGAAAGAAAGTGTAAAATCTTTGATTATTGGAAGTTGTTTTGATGCTAGTAAAATGAGAAACAAATGTTGGCAAATCCAAGAGGTCACTCCAATAGGAATACCATCTCAACTCGAAACCCTCCTCTAATAGATCATGAATGAACAATTGATTCGTGGGAAGCTAGGGATAAGATTGGTGAGTATCTAAGCATAAACTGTGACTAGGCGCACGGAATATCAAAGACTCACCAAGTTATCCACCTTCAACCCAGTCAAACCAAACCATTGAACTCTGAAAGAAGGGAGGAGAATGAGTTGAAAATGGTATACCCAAGTGGAGGTTCCTCTTAGTTTTGCCAACTAAGAGATTTAGCTATTCATGCTTAAAATAAAGACAACAATATGATGACAAGGGAGGGTGAAAGTCTTGTTAGGTGGCTTTGAATTACATGAAAGTCTTGTTTGGAGGCCTTGAATTACATGAAAGTCTTGTTAGGTGGCTGATTAACCATCAAAATTATTATTTTATTACATTTAATGATTGGTTAATTTCATATTATTTGTGATTAAATGTGTTGAATTCCTTGATTTTTTAGTTTGATACTTTTTCTAGTTATTTGGTTTATTTTGCAGGTAAATTGGTTGATTTAAAGTAATAATGGATAATGCAATTGAAGCAATCACTAGAGGAAGAATCGCATTTGATAA